CTCCTTTCACCCGTTATCGGTCGCTTGCTAATGGCACGCGATTGCCTTTCGCGTTTATCCGGAACGGCGTTCGCGCGTCCAACGGATCTGCGGACTGCCGCCCCACATCCGCGACCTTTGCCCTCCGCGATCGTGTCGACGACACGCGCGGAACCCATCCTGACGTTTCATTTCTCGCGACGCGGATCGACATTCAGTTACCAATCCTCCCTTCCGTGAACCGGTTCGTTCAGCCACGTAGCGAAATTAGTCCTTCACGAGCAGCAGCAAAGGAAGGAAATTTTTTTGCACGTTTCTTTTATTTCCCTCCCTTCCCCTCCCTCCCTCCCCTCTCTCTCTATTTTCCATTAGTCTCGCATATAACAGCTTCCATATCCGAGAGCACTTAAACTTTGCCCGACCTTCTCGTCCCCGGAGTATCGTATTTTAATTTTTTTTTTTTTAATAAATATCAGAATGATTTATTTATTCGAACTGAAAAAGAGAAAGAGAGGAAAGGAGCGTATATGTACGTGTCGTCTCGAACGAAACTGTCGCGTCCGACGAAGGGGTTAAATCTCTCCGAATCATCTCGGAGGGTTTTAAAAATTCAATAAAAGGCTCGGACGAGCAAATGGATCTTAAATATAACATCCCTCCAATTCGACGTGTCCCATCGATATCCCGTCGGGGAGGAGGGAGAATGGACGACGCGGAGATAAAGCGGCGAAACTGTCTCGCTCTGTCTCTCGTGCTTTCTCTCTCTCTCTCTCTCTCTTTAAATTTACATAATTGAAAAGGAGAAAAGAGGGGAGAAGAGGACGCGACGCGCAACGCGAAAAGTCGCGAGACGATCATTTCCAATTTCGAACTAATTTTACGGTCAAATTGAAAACGACGCAATCGTTGTTATTATTATAACCGAGAACACCGCTTATCGATCGGCAAGGGCCATTAAACTCGAAACGACAAAATATAGTTATTTCATAGATGAATGGAGGACTATTACGTTCGAATGGCTATTAACAATTTGGTGTGGCCTGGTGATCAATTATTATGTATTCATTTCTGTGTGCACGTACGCACCGTACGTGTGTATGTGTGTGTGTGTGTGAGTGAGTGCGCCTATGCGAGCGCACGTGCGCGATATAATTTAGGACCGTTGGCACTTTTTTTTTTCCCCACTCGCCTTTAACGCGGAGTCAACGATTCCCCTGCCGTACTTACGAATTAATAGGGGCCGTCAGCTCTTAATTCAATTATAACGCGTGCCGCGCTCGAGTGGCGCGCGAGAAGAATTGAGAATGCGCGCAAGAAGCGTGAATAAAAATTGTCGCCGATACTGGACTATATTTGTACGCATCATTAAGAACCAACCGCTTGAATAACCCAGATCTGCTTAATTCCGACGCTGATGCAGGTATATGAGTCGCGCGCGCGCGCGGATGACATGGACCGTCGGGGATTTTTCGCGTCTCTTTCTCGTGTCGTGCGATCGTTGACGGATGAAAATTTGATTCACGACCGACTAATCAAGTCGCTTACTCGGCACACACCGACACGTCATTCAGACCACATTAAAACGCCACGGTGATACACGTATATGTATATTTATGTACCTGGAGATATATATATATACACACACACCTTTCTTTTGCTCAGTAACAATGGAACAACATTTACTATTCTGCTCTCATACAGAAAGACAAACACGAAACTCGCTCCACGGACTATCCTTTCCCCGACCCTTCCACCGCTCCTCTTTGCGGTCGCTCCAGATCCTCGGATGCTCTCGCGGACTCGTGGAACCGAATTCTCAATGAACACTCAATGTTCCCGAGTCCTTGAATTCACGGATCCTAGGAGCGCCGCGGACCATCCTTGAGAGGGCCTAAGCACAAGGATGACCGTAACTGAATCGTGGAACGCAAGTCATAGTTGTAGGTTGACCAAAACATCGATCTACGACTCGGTTACAGCCATCTTTGTGCTGAGGCCCAGAGTCGATCCGCTGATCGCGGGAGAATCCGGGATTCCCCGTAAAGTCTGTGTCACACCACGCGTTGCGGATGTGGATCACGGATCGTGAAAAATAAAGATTCATCTGTTTGGCAAACTGAATCGTTGGCTGCTTCAAACTGATCGAGTGGTCAACGATTCATAGTTCATAATTCTATAGAATCTTAGATAATTAGATTTAACATTGAGTTGATTAGGTTAGTTTGTCGCCGCCAATTTTAATTTCTTATGAGTACTGATTGGCTGTCTAAATCACGTGATTACGATGCCATTTTAATTTCTTATTAAAATGGAGCGTGGTTAGTCTCACTACAAATGCTTTGAACCACTTGACTGACCAATGAGGAGAAAGAATGTTACTATTGGCTAATCAAAAATGCTTCAAAGTATTTACAACGTTAGCTTGACCGTATTCTACGATAGCCAATCAGACCATACCCTTCTATGATTAATCTCTGATTATCTAGGACTCTACACCATCGGAATTCAATTTGCGTCCGCAATGCGTGATGTGACACGAGCTTTAAAACCCACGTCACACTACGCATTAGAGATTGAGGATTGTAAATTGGAGATTAGAATTCAGCCAATCAGAATGAAACGGATTAAAACGATCCGACTAGTCGAGTTCTAATCTCCAATGTCCTTAATCTCCAGTGTACAGTGCGACACGGACTTGAGCTCTTTCGGAGGAATTGCTGGTTAAAAGGGATCCACGGATTCTTGCGCCAGCATCCCGCTCCTCCCTTGTCACCTTTATACGAAAGAGAGAATGCGCATCTTTATGACACACTTGCATCCGCCCCCTGCCCTATTCGTACCCCCTTAGTGATATGTATGATTTATTACCAGCCAGCCAGTAGCTCTAAGTTTGAAATTCGTGTATGCAACTCAGTTCCTTCCTATAATGACTTGTGTACATGCTACGTTACGTACCTATTTACCCTTATTAATGTATATCTGTCTTGAACGCGAAAGCGAAGCGAGAGAAAAGATAACAACGACCTATCAAAAAAAAAAGAAAGAAAAAATAGAAAAAAAAAGAAAAGGTCGTGCGACATTTCGCCATGTTCCTACTGACTAACATCGGTCTTTTTTTTCTGCTTTCAGCTGCACAGATTCCACAACGCGGAAGTAAGTACGATTAAATTACGTTTGAAAAACCACAACTGCTCTCTCAACCACCCTCCCTCCTCGCGCCACATCCTGTTCGCCCACGCCCGCACCTCTTCTCTGTAATTGCGATTATCGTCGTAAGACCGTTTATCGTAGTGTAGAAGCGAGGATGCGGAACTACGCGGAAAATGTCACGGCACGCCAGTGTCGGGGTCTGTTTCATGAATGGAAACGAAAACGCGAATTGAAGGACTTGATTAAGCGGTCGGTGCGATGAGAGAATCCCACCCTTCCGAGTCGGGATTCATTCCCGAGTTGCTTTGGACCGTATAGATCGCATCTCGATAATAGCGCTTGGTTTTGATTAGTAAATTCTCGCAGATCTTAAAGAATGTACAACAATATCGAGGAACGCATAAATCTGTAATTATCAAATATTATTTCCCTCGGATTTTCCATCCCTTAAATTTCAGGATCATCATAGCTTAAAACATAGAATATTTGATCCTACTGTTAATAATCTTTGAGCTCCCCAGAAATTTCTGAATTTTTTGCGAAACTTATATTTCCCGAAACGTTTGTTAAATTCTAGAAGCCTCGAAACTAGTCGATCTTCGTCTGGCAACAAAAAGTCTAAGGACCGATTTGACCGATTAAAAACTGATCTATTATTTTGTTTTTCTCCGTTTTTTGCAAATTATAATTTATATAAAATACAATGTCATTAATTAAATAATTAAGGAATTAAATTAGGGACGATTAGTTTTAAGTTTTTTTGCAATTGGCAGTTTTTACTTATGAAAAATTATTTTGCCGAGTACTAATCTCTCGTTACCACCAAAAAGGATCGAAATTAAAACGCTATTATCGAGATTTCACCCAGCGATTACCAATCTTCTCAACAAACTTAATCAGAAACCTCCAAATATATGTACATCTCGATTCCCAGTTGCATGTTGTATTTACGTAAATGAGAACGCACGCGTGAACCGCACCGTTCTCTCTCTATCTCTATCTTCCCTCTCCGTCTCTGTACCTACCTCTCTCTCATGAATTCCTCTAATTTCAGCATGCAAGAGGAAAGACGAGATGGCGAACCAGGCAGAACACCAACAGCCCGCCCCCAAGAAACCGCGGCTGGTTTTCACAGACCTTCAGCGCCGTACTCTACAGGCTATTTTTAAAGTGAGTACCGTGCGCGCGCGCTCGCGCGCACATACACATATACGTGCACACAACACGTAACTTCTTACCTCTTGTGATCGATAGTAATTGCCCTGTTCTTCTCTACCCCCTCCGGCGATATGCACAGGCAATTGAATATTGAGAGAGCGCTACCACCGCTGACTGATCCGCTGCTTGTTAACGGGGACTAACTTTCGCGGTCGAAAGCGTATATAATATATGTATACGCGAGTTCGAACTTGCACTCATCGCATTCGACTCGCGAGGACACCTGTGTCCCTTCCTGGATCGATAGAGTTTTTCTTAAAACGTAAAGCCTCTACACGAGGCACCTCCTCCTCCATCCCCCGCGCCGAGTAAACCGCGACATAGGAAACAGATGGTACACGCAATCGCGAAGTTACGTAAGAACCCCGACGAGGCTTCTAAATACTGAACGCTAACAGTTTCGTGGGGAGAGTAACCCTTTTCCGAATAATGACTATTTACTCGAGGAGATCGCGACGAGGAAGCGCCGTTAGCGCGTTTCGTCCCGGTTTCCATCCCCCGCGGGATGCTGTTAGTTCCGTGGGTAAACAGGGAAATAAATTTTACCAGTGCCTCGTGCGCGCGGCCTATTATTCCTAATTTGGACTACATTCCAAAACGTCCTCTCCAAGGAAAATTTTACTCGAGATATATACGTAACGTGTACTACCATGGGAAGAAAGATTTGTTAAAACAATTAAAAATTTCACTGATTAAGCAAATCTATGGTCGTACAGGGTTATCACTAATTCCCCATCCAAAATTTTCTTTGACTTCCAATAATATTTTAAAATTTTTTGTATTTTCGTCGTGATTTGGAAACAGGATTTTATTAAGCATTTTGTTGAGAGATCAATTTAACATAGCAATGTAAATTTCTATTAATGTTGCTGACACTGCTTGCATTTTTATAATTGTTAAGTTGGTAGCTTGTTTCCAAAATTGCATAGGTGTGAGGTATGTATATTAAATTTCTTTGAAGTCAAGAATTTTAATTTTCCAGAAAATTTTGCAAAATTCCTTGACTTTTCCCTAATTTCCAGTTTTGTGACAACCCTGCCCATAATACAGCAATTTTCCATGTTAAAGTGGCAAAATTGTTAATGAAATTATAATTAAAGCGATTATAGGTAATCATATTGTAACAGCACAGCAAATTTGTTAATACAGCATAAACAGTTTTCTATTATGCAAAGTCAATCCAGTTCATAGATTAAAATGTTTAACAAACATGCCAGCTAAGACGGCGTGTACTTTGGTTGCTGCAATGAAGAAAACTTGTTACATAAGCAATTCTCATTGTAGCGAAAAATTAGCTGAATTAGCATACTAATAATTTCTTACAGAAATAATTTCTTCGTTGAACCATCAAATCTTCTTAGCTACAGATGTTGAATTCGTGCAGCAAGCTATAGCTTTGCTAAACTATCTAATCTATTTTTTCTCTGTGTATTATATCGACTAAAATTTTCTTCGAAGAGGACATTTTAGAGCGTAGCTTTGGACGGCAAGGAACCGGGGAAAATCGTTTGGTCTCGGGGCTTCCCCGCGACGGAAAAACACTGTCTCCGCTGCCATGCCGCGCGGATACCTGAAATTCAGTTGCGCTGCGTCAACCGACCGCGCGCGCTCTCTCCGTCTATCGATCGGTCTTGAATAATTTCGCGGCCGGTTCTTTACTTATGCGCTCCGTATTTCAGCCCCGCTGATTGCAACGCCGCGCTACTGCCGCTGCCGGCGGTCGCCGTCAAGAATAGCCATTGATATTAACCGTTTCCTCATTAGCGTCGCGGGCGGGAAAAAAATAACGATCGCAAACGCACGTTTTCGATCATCCCGTGCTCGTGTTTCCTCTAATCGTATCGTTGCGACGGTACAACTGCAGTTCTTCGAGTTCGAATATCGTTTGGACAATTTCTTGTTCATCCTCACCATTTGTTTCAGGCTACGAAAAAATCTATATTTTGATTTATTATTTATTTTAGAGTCTCACTCATTATTGTAATAATAATATTTATATGTATATAATTAAATTAGGTTTATTTGTGGATTAATAAAGTGCAGATTTTTAACTGATTTAAATATTTTTAAAAGCGTACTATAGTTAGCCTGGAAATATCGGACAGTGTCCAAACTTAGAGTTCCTTTTAGATAAGAATACCGTTTGGACAATATTTAATCGATTCATTTGTTTCAGGATTACTACGAAGAAATTTAGATTTATTATTATTTTGCTAATATTTATTTTACAGACTTATTATAGTGATAATAATATTTTTATATGTCGCACTCCAAGAAAAGAAACACAGAAGGAATGAAAGAAAGTTGAAGATACAAAATCGGGAGAGAAAAAATTGCGTATTTTGAAATTAATTATTATTACGGCAGTTAATATTAAACAGTTGATTTATTGTTAGAACTAATCACACAAATTGCTTGTTACATTTCTCTAGAAATAATGGCGGTATTAATTTTATTAAAATATTGTATTAACCGTAAAAACTACCCTTATTTTTGCTTACGTCGTTTTTTCCTTTATATGTCATTTTTCTTTTAAATATTTGAATTCAACTGATGGTATTTTTCTAAAGACTAATATATACTTAGAACGCAATCCACACATAATACGAAATTCGACAAATTTTGATATAAACTATTCAATTAGATTTATTTTTGTATGAATAAACAGCTTAAATATTAAATTAATTTGAATGGTTTTGAAAAGCATACTATAGTTAACCTGAAAGTATCGGACGATGTCCAAACTTATTGTTAGACTCCCTCAGTTAAGAATTCTTCTTTTCAAAAACTGTTTATACTTTGAGCAATTAATTTTTTAGTAAACCGCCATTTATTTCAGCACTACAAAGAAATTTGTTTTGCTATTATTTATTTTACAGACTTACTTATTATTGCAATAATAACATATATATTTACGTACACAATTAAATCCATCTATATAATTGATTCATTTTTTTAATTAACAGACTGCACGAATGTTAAACAGAGTTGAACGTTTTTGACAAGCGCATTAACCGGGAAAATGGTAAAACGATTAAGGAACTCTAACAACAGCCAACTCGAGTGACTCAATCGTAATCTAAAAGACGCGTTATTGGACCGATGAAGAATTAAAAAAAAAAAAAAAACAATGATGTCTATTAATGCAGTCAATCCGCGGAATCAAACTCGGAAAATCGCGAGCTCCACATCTCGTTACATCCGCGGCTATTGCGAACTACGATTACAATTACA